TATTTATTTGTAATAAAAAAGTAATAGTATTATTACCATTATTAATATTTTTAGTGTATAGTGTTGTACTGTAGTCTATTTAAATTTAAGTATTTTTAAGCCTAACTAAATCATAAATTGACATACTAGTAATTATTACTACGAGTATTGTTACTACTAGAACTGCTAATGGTACTTATTCAAGTTTGAAGTTGGAAAGTTTAACGTCAAACAACAGGCTTCATCCGGTTGAAGCTTGTTCATAATGATTTTTTGATCAGTGGTTGTTAAAACTTGGACGTTACAACATGTAAAATACATTTAACATTGTTAATATTGTACTTATACTATATATATATTTATAAGTTATACTTTTATAGTGAATAGATAAAATATAACATTTCAAAAAATTAATGTTAATTAAAAAACAACACATTATTTCTGCTTTTGTAATGTAAGTTTGTTGTTTAACGTATTACAATTTACAGTACTAATCTATTAGTTAATAGTGTTACCGTTATTACTATTATCTTATAAGTTATAACGTTAACACTGGATATTTTTTAAGTTCCAGAGCTTAACAGTAATGCAAAACTGAATTTTTATTTCAACTATTATGATTAACATACACCGTATCTGTGAGTTGCTAATGTGATTTATAATGAACTTAGGCCTAAATTTTGAAAAGTAATTATCCATATGTGTTGTCATACGTTTAAAATCATGTGAAATTGTAATTCACAAATTGGGGACCGTGTGTGTGTGTGTGTGGTAGTACTGGGTTTTGTTATCAGTTAAGTAAAACATGTACTCCAAATTCAAACTAACAGCTGGGTAATTATTTATGATAAATATAAGAATGCTAGCATACATGACTGGTGCTGTTGTTGCACTTGTAAGTTGTAGACACCAAGAGGCAAAGAATGTGATTGGCTAAATGACTTTATAATCCAGTCAACCTATTAATATTAGAATTATGCTGGATTATTAATACAAATAACATAGGGCACACACAAAAGAGACACTACCAATGCTTTAATGATCATATCTAGTAGCAAAACTGATGTGTATGTACTTCAATTAAGTAAGCAAATTCTTTGGTTTGAAATTTTGTCTTCTGAATACTAAATAATGTGTTTTTATGATTTTTAATTATAAATTATGGGACCAAAAGGAGTCTTTTAGCACATCAAGCATAACTCAACCTCTCTAAACATTAACAAAACTAATAAATCCAGTATTGATCTTCCCCATATTTATTTGTCTTTTCCCTTTATATTCTGCAAAGTTACAGCATGTACCACTCTAGATGGCAATTTGTTCCAAAGATTTACCACTGTTGAGACATGAAAGTGCCTCAACAGGATATGTGATTGATCTTTCCAAATATTAAATTTATGGCCTTTTGTTATACTGCTGTCAGAATTCTGTGTGAAAAAATCTGATGTATCAGTCTTATGAGTTATCATTTTCAATGCTTAAATTAGATTGACATTGATCCTTCTATTTTCAAAAGAGAACAAACTAAGAGATCTTAACCCATCATCATTACAACTTACAAGCCATCCATCTCTGAAATTATCTTATTAGCCCTTCTCTGAATCATCTTTAGAAACTTGATAGCCTTCCTGAATCATTAAGATAAGTCATACTACATGTAAAACTTCTATGAGGCGAAACTAGTAATTCTTACAATGAAATCATGACCTCTTTAGGTTTGTAGCCATTATTCCTGTGTTTACAACTCAAAATTCTTTTAGCTTTACCATTTACAACGGGACATTGTCTCAAAGACTTGCAGGTTGCATCAACCAGTAAATACTACAAGACCCTTTAACTCATCCACATAATAAAAAGTATTCTCATGTAAGTTACATGTATAATTTATCGTTTGATAAGCCATATGAATATCGGTGTACTTATAATCAAAATTTAAATGCCATCTTGTTTGTGTATGTCCAACTAATCAGCTGATGAAGTCTCTCTGAAAATCATAGCATTCTCATTAAGGCCAGCTAGATCTAAGATTTTTTATATCATAAGCAAACTTGGCTAGTTTCTTGATTATTCCCTTCCAATGTCATTAATGTAAATTAAGAATAGCAGTAGTTCCAACACATTTCCCTCAGGCACATCACTTGGAACATTAGTTCCGATGACGTGAACTCTTAATGTGTAAAGTAACATTATCAAGTTGGTAGTTGAATATAAATATAAAGGATAGAGGACACTTATTATGCTAAATATAATATAATGCACTTGTTTATTTATACACAATTGAAGTATTGGTCTTAACATCACAAGTATTTTGGCTTCTCTTGAATAGTTCTTTACTACAGATTTATTTATTTATTAATGCATTATTGTTGTTTTTTAACAGTTGATCTCATACACATTTTGAATATTTGTTTTACAATTGTATTGTCTTTTAATAATAATATTTAATGAAATGTGCATATTCTGGATATTAAGCTAAATACTGCCCACTGTTGAAGACATGAAATCTCTTACAGTGGACAAGTTTTACTTGATTAAATAACATCAGTCTTTTGATCAATTATATATATATTACTATTATTTATGCTTTTTAACTCTTAAATTACCAATTTCTTTACAAGTTACTTATTGTTCACTACACTTGGGATATACATTTATCATATAGAGTTATTAATGGAATTAACTGTAGTGTTTGTGTTTTCTGTGTGACTCGTATATCACATACTAAAGAAACCCTGTAAGTCAGCAAGCAACAGTCATAGAAGCAGTTTGTAGCCATAATGATGTGTGTTTGTTGAAAACATACCACCCTGCTTAAAACTGAGTACTGTAAGCATTGATGAAAAAACACAATAACAAACTTGAAATCATCAGTCAGCAGAGGTCCATAAGGAACATCATATTATACTGTTCAATATTTTTTTGTACTGCATTACTATATTAACTTCTGTTTTTTCTATCAATAAGTTTAAATTTGGTTAAAACTACACAAATTTAGCTTTAAATATTACCAGAACTAACATTGAAAGGAGAAGCAGCCTTAACAGACTTTCAGCATCGTAAATGACAAATATCAGAACTTGTTATTGAGACTGTTTATTGATTAGCATATGCAGGCAAAATCCTGAATTTACACAATGTTGTATTCATTAAAATGTGTTAATATTTAACTGGTTGATAATATAAAAATATCAAATTGGCTATCAATACATTTTATATTTGAGTGTAATTTCTATGTTGCCATAATAAAGTGTAATCAAGCATAGGAGTTTGTGGAAGTCTTAAAAACATTTTTAGGCTTGTACACTGTACTCATTTTATGCCTAGAAATGATAAGGTTCCATATCTAATGCAAAGTTTTTAAATAGTCATTAGATCAGACAGGGTAGGTTAAAAAGGAGATTAAAAATATTTACACACTTACACTTCATTTATGTTTTAAATTGTAGCTCAGTTGTATAAAATACTCATCAAACTAGTAGTGGAGATATGTAATTGGTTGTGTAACATTTTATGTATTGTAGTATTCTTACTTGATCTTTCCAGGTGAAATGTTTACCTAGGACTACTCTAGAAATCCAGGTGTTGCTGAAGGCAGCCTTTTTTGAATAACACAACTGCTGTTCATCTGGCTGACTTCATCATGAAGAAACTTTTTTCTAAGTTTGAAAATAAAATTGAGCAGACACCAAAAGAGGCCACAAGTTTTGTTGGGAAAATATTCAATGTTGGAAGATTTAGTGTTACAGTTGAAGACATAATTGCAGAAGGTTTGTTCAGTTTACCAGTATTTATTTTATTTTTTGCTTATTAATAGAACCCAAATAGCTTGATTTAAACTGAAAACCAAAGATAAAATCAACAAATAATCTTCTGAATTTTTTATTTGAAACGTATATAGGAAAAGGTACAAATTAGAGCTGGGTGATTACCTTGATTAATCAATATAATCAATTACTTATAAGCATCATTAAATCAGTTAGTGTTGCATAAAAAATTAATTATTTGAAATTATGATTCAATTGATTATGTTCCAAAAACAGTCAACTAATTGAAATTAGTGTTTTCAGTAATTACTATTTTTGATTATTCCAACTATCCAAGTCTCGTGAGAGGAATTGATTAGTTAAATGTAATTGATTAATGAGCCTGACAATCAGTCATCAATTTCCAGTAATTACCCAGCACTATTCCAAATTAAGAGTTAAGACCACTTTTATTAACCTGAATATTAAACAGTTTTGTTTTCTGTGTGACTCCTGCTGAGCTAACTCTGTGCTAGTCTCTTTATTAGTATCTTTGTGCTTCATCTGATGTTATCACCTATATGTTTAACACATTTTTATTGTATAAAGCATAATAAAGAGGTGGGGTTAACTCAATTAATTGATATAATTGATTAGCTATGAACATAATTACATCAATCAATGTCACATACAATAATCTGTTAACAGAAATTGTGATTCAAATGATTACTCACTATTCCTACTATCTAGTAATTAAAAGTACTATTAAATTGGTTAATGTCATGAAAATAATCAACGTATCTAAATTATGGTTTTCTATTGTTATTATTTCATATAATTCCAACAGTCCAAGTAGTCAGAATATTGTCATTGTGTTTGTTTGCTTTTAAACACAAAACTACAAAAATGGGCTGTCTTTGGTCACATGAGAATAATTGATAAGTAATCAATTAATGAAGTCAATGATTAATCAGTTAGCAAATTCCTGTTAATTACCCAGCTATAATAATACAACATTGGCAATTTTTTCTCTTTACCAATATATTTTTACTGTATGTATAGTTGTACAAATTTGAATTATTTTAATATTGGAAAATGTAAAGTTGTAATTTTATGTGAAACTACTATTGTTAAAAAGTCTGTTGATGAATAATTTTTTTTAAAAAGAAGAAAGTATTTAAGTATTACTGATGAGAATTGTTGTTTGTTCTATATTAATCAACTTCATTGAGTTAACTTTCTTTGAATAATGTTATTTTGTTGTGGGCTTGATACTTTTACAATTTTTTTAAAATAATAAAAAAATAAATATAAAGTTAACTATTTATAACTTAAGGGTAGAATAACATACAGAGTAGTGTTACTCAAATTTCAATTCATTTGTTTATTGTTGTGTTTTTACTGTTTGTTTTTGACACATTTACAGAACAAAAGATAATTCTATACATTTCAGCTTTGTTTCCCAAGTTTCTTCAACAAGTTGTTGTTTCTTAAGAATATAATTTTAAACTGCAAATGATATGGATCTATTTGATTAATTGTAAGTCATAACCATAACTGATTTTTATTAGAGAAAATATATTTTGGAAAGTTCAACCTGTTGTCAGATGTAGTCTATCAGCTGAGTTGGGCCTACTACTTATCTCAATGGACCAGCTAAAGACACTTTAAAACTAATCGCCACACTTGTACAAACACAAAAACATATGATGCACAATGTCTAATGGTAGACTTCCACTCATTCTTGTCCACTTTTTGTGTGGAGAAGGGGGGGGGGCTGGACTTGTGAGTATTTTGAGAAAAAATAAAGACATTTTTATGTATCTCATGAGCATAATATTTGAATTGACAGATTTTCATTAATATTTACATCTGTATCCTATTATATTGGAGACATTTTAATCTGTGTGGAAAATCAGAGAGAAGATGGAACTATTGGTAATTTCAGAATGGCACCCATGTATCATAATTTCATTTGAGCTGTTTGAAGCAGCAGCAGTACATTATGTTACTTGATTATATGAGGAATGGACAACACATTTTACCTATCAATTATTATTATAATTTCCATTTGTTGTGATTTCAAAAAATGAATAACAGAAATTTTATAACTTAATGTCATATTACATATTTTATAAGTTTATTTTCACTTACATCAAATATCACAGTTATTATTTGAGTTTTCTGAATGGAACTTATGAAAAAAATAAAAAAAACAGAGAAAGAATTTTCAAACATACATTAATCTTGTACCTCACAAATATAAAAAAAATTGTTTCTAGCTGCATTGTTTAAGGTGCAGAAACATGCATTACTTTCAGCATACTTGTTTAAATATCTATGTGGTATTCCTGTCTACTTATGCCCATTCATTCATTCAAACTGATTTTCACATAATTTTGTTTTTAAGAAACCATAAACTGGGTATAAATTGTCTTTCAAACTTCTATAATTAAATGGATAAACTTAATGTATCATGATTCTGATGATGATATAATGCTCACCTATGAAATTTTAGTTAATGAGTTTGCAAATCGTATTAGTGATCCAACTTTGTTTCTGTGATAAATATCAAAAATTCAAAACTTTACTCTATAAAATATAAAGCAGCATCGATTATTTTTTCAAATTAGTTATGATAATAGAGACAAATGTGTCCATGTTTTGGATGATGCCTTTGCATTACATATTCATAATATGGTTATGCACTGAAGTGAAATGATTATCTGTATTCAGGCAGTTGAAATAAAAGTGACTTAAATGAAGAAAAAAAAATGTCTGATAATATACCACCAATTCAAAATGGTCTTAACTGTTATCAACAAAATATTAAAAATAATGTTGTTATAATTCAGAGCACCACAAACTTTACAAAGATTATACATTTATACATGTTAAATGAAAAATAAATATAACCTTGATACCATGACAACTAATGTCAAATCTGTACACAAAATAATCAGAACTGATGTCACCTAGCAACAGTAATAAAATGCAACAATTCAGGTGGAAAGTTACCAAAACAAAAGTTCATAATATTAAAAAGTGAAGCTAAGAACATAGGGAAAGCAATAATAAAAATTTAAAATGGTCCCTTTGACTGAGTGTGGGAACCAATTTTAGCTGCCCTGTCTGATGGACCAATGTATTTGAGTTTGTTATACTTTGATGTACCAAACTTACAACACCTGAAAAATAACTAAATATACATATACAATACAGAGAGTTGTAGAGTTCACAAAAAATAACCATAAGAAAGAAATTACTGATAATGTTTATGGGTTAGCACTTAGAAATGTGTGAGAGATAGTTATTCAGTTAGCAGTATAAAAAACAAGCCTAAAATCTGAAATAATGTTCAAACACAAATTTCTATGATTTATTGAATGATGTTGATCTTTTTCAGTCCACTCGGGTATTAATTATGTGAAAAGTTCAGTACTGTGTGTAGGTCAGCAGTTTTAGTTCAGTTAGAGGGGTGATATCTATCAGCCAAATTTGTAACACAGTTGCTAAACAAAAAAATCATTTAACACTGTCAGAGATGGTGAAAAAATACACTGATATTTTTCATATGCCAAGACTTATTAAAAGTGTACAATACAGTAATATTCACAAAACTTCACAAAAATTGGATATGAAGTCTTTGAGTTAATTACATAATAAATGTTAATGAAGTTTTCTCCATGTGTAGTAGTAGGAAGAAATTTTAGCTCATGAAAAAATAATGCACTGTTTTGAAGGAGTTGTGTAAAGTATTACATTTTGTGCATATGAATTTTTGCCAAGTGTAGATCAATAAACAAGATAATAGTTACTCTTAGGTCATTGCCAAATGCTATAATGTAGTAGTTATTGACTTGTAACCTCAAGAGTACAAAGCCGTTTACCTAGATGTTTTAGTAACTTCTGGGAAGTGAGAAATTTGATCTATTGTTTAGTAATGTAGAATAAAGTTAATCTGAGAAAGGTTAAAGAATTTACAGTTATTCATTTGGTATGTACTGTATGTTTAATATACAAGATTAGTTAAATTTGAAATAAAAATGCAAACGTACATATAACTACATGATACTAAATACACCTATAAACTTTTGATGATGCACGTGCACACTTGAAAAAAAGGGTTAAAGTCAATGATGATACTACTATTTTTGTTGATTATTTATATAGATGCATAGAAAACCATTTGGTTAGTTGCTTTTGAAATTCATGAGGATGGCTTTAATTTAGAATTTTTTTTTATTATGTTTATCATAGAAAACATTCTAGGTCACCAAAAACACACTTTTTTCATTTGTACATAGTACCCAAACACTTGAAACAATCTCAGTCTGTTAGCACTTAGGTTAATATAGTTATCCATTAATAGTTGTTTATCACCTTTACTACTTTAGAAATGTTAATCAAAATAATGTTTAGTATTAAACTGACTGAACATTAAAATTGCATATGGATAACACTTCCCAAATTTCATTGTTAAATATAAGAAGAAGAAGAAAAAATACATATATTGCAATGAGTTTTTGCCAGTGTTTTGGAGCTTAATTTATAATTGCAACTCTTAAGTATTAACAGGCTGAGACTAAGAATAAAATAATTTTTAAAATGATTGTTATATTTTACAAGGTGAAGTTTGATATTCCACCAAATAGTTTTTGCTTTATTTAGTGATTTTCTTAAATTAAAACCTTGACCTAATTTTGTACTTCATATCTGAGATCATTTCAGTGTGTTTTTGAAGTTGTAAATTCTGTGATTTAAAAAGCTAAACACATATATATATATATATAAAAACTTGTATAAGAAAAATTGACACACATGCACACAAGTGTTATATACTCCAGCTATACACATAATGTGATTAATTGCATCTTACATGTAATTATAGCTGAGACATCTTACTTGAAAGGTCAAGAGATTTTTCAATCAATCATGCAAGTTAAGTCATTTTTTCAATAGTGTATGGTCATCCAGTTATTTAATCCATTAAATACTGAAACTTAAGTCCTTGAGTACTTTGTACATCTAATAAGTAATGACTGAACTGGAGAATTGCTGTTAGCAGTGGGTAGCAAACATCTGTACTCTAACCTATAATTTCTTTATAAGATAATGAACATTTGTTAAATTATAGACGATTTCACTAGATATAAAATCTTATCTAGCATTAATCTCAGGATGATACATCAGCAATTAACATTCAGAATCAGACTATTTAAGTTTTAGATGTCATTTATAGTTTTTTTTGTTATTCCATAGTAAAGTGGAATATGAACACAAGTAGAAAGTACCCTGTGCATTTAAATGTAGTTTTGAAGTAGAGAAGAAAGTGAAATATCTAACCTTGAAGATAGATAATTACACATGCAAACTGTGATAAGGATCACAGTGGCTTGCTAGTTTACTTTGCCTTATGGTAATATTACTTAGATCGAGTGGACTTTTTCCTTTTGTAATTTTGATACATTATCAGTATGTACTTTATGCTGTTAGACAAACTTTAATAATGTGAACAAATTACTTGTGAATACAACAATGTCAAATTTCATATGTAGTTTTTCTTTTTCTAATGATTTTATGGCATTATTAGTTTGGAATACATGTGCTATTCCAAGAAAAGCTTTAATCTGTAAAGAGACATGTTTTTTATGTATTTGTTAGGATTGGATTGTAATTGTTGTATATATGTGTATAACTTATGATTCTGTGTACATTTATAATGTGTGTATATTGGATCTAGAGATGTTTCCTCTAACCCTCTCTCCTCTAGACTTTTTCAGCAATATTTATTTTGATGAGAGCAGAGTATACTTTATGACCTTATGACTTTATTTATGTTGTAAATTATTTTGAAAATGATTTCTTGACCTAGTACCGTTCTTATAGCTATATTAATAAAATTTTGGATTATAATTCAAAACAAGGTTGATTTTAAAGTTAAGCTTTATATAGCAGTGTTTCTAAACAATCCCAAGTTTGCTCTCCTATTGCAGGAACTGCTACTTTATTGTTAATTAATGCCAATATACTTATCACATAACATTATTGATTTCAGTAGGTCTGAATCTATGGGTTGCGGGTTCGACTCCCCTTCCCACCAAACATGCTCACCCTTTCAGTCGTGGGGGCATTATAATGTGACAGTCAACCCCACTATTAGTTGGTAAAAGAGTAGCCCAAGGGTTGGCGGTGGGTGGGGATGACTAGCTGTCTTTCCTCTAGTCTTTCATTGCTAAATGCGGGACAGCTAGTGCAGATAGCCCTTGTGTAGCTTAGCACGAACTTCAAAACAATGAAACTTGTAATTTTACCCAAAATATTGCACATCTTCTGCAGTTCTCTTTAATTTTTCTTAATCCTTGCATTTTTTAAATGAAATTTTTGTCATAAATTAAATAAAAATATTTCAAATAATTCTCTATGAAAATTGAAGTATCAGAAAAAAAAAGAAAACTTTTATTATATAGCTATTATATGAAAAGTTGATATATGCAGTATAGCAACAACTCGGAAATTTTGTAAGGTACAATAGCATGTGAAAATAATTGCCTGTTAATATTTGTACAGCAAACCTCATCTTTCAAGAAGTTATCGTGTGACATTTACTACAAAGCAACCAATAAAAATGGATCATTATGTTTATATAACATAGAATTATGAAATTCTCCAATTATTTGAATCCAAGTTACTTGCCGTGTAGGCAAACATTTAAAAGTTCTTTCTAGGAAGAATTTTACAAAACATGTATTATTAGATGACTGGAAATTAATGCTCTCTCATTTGTAACGATATGTCAAATATGGAAAATTCAGTTTAAATCCAAAGGCTACGTGAGTAACAATTCTTACAGAACATCAAATTAACCTCTTAAATTATATGATAATCAAATTTTGATCTTCCTTGGTTTTGGAAGCTTGTAAAGTAGTTGATAAATTCAAACCTGATATTTTACAGATTTGTTTGAATGTTCTTCCTCAAAGGAAATTGTCTTCTGTTGTTTTTTTTTAAACTATTGTGTATGCTACATGAAAAATAGAGTATATGTAGAGTTTTTTGTTCTTTTAAATTATTGCTTTATATTCTTTAATATAACTCAAAAAACGAACTACTTTCTGGTATATGAACAAAAAACTAAAGTCTTAAATACTTAAATGCTTGGAGAACAACAAAGCTTATTAGATAAATGGTTTGTTACTCATATTCAGTATTTGTTAAAAACATTTCATTTTTGTGATCTAGTAAACTGTACTTCAAAAAAGAACAAAACATTTGAAAAATACAAAACCTTTTGAACTATATTTGTTAGCAAGATGTAATATACATGTATTTTATGGCAAACATAAAAGTGTGAGCTTAGAAAGTTTTAACAAAGAGTTTTCTATACAATGTGCTAAAAGTAAAAACACTTTCTATGATGTGAAACTTGTCAATGTAGTTGCAATCATGCATAGAATAAATTTACTATAAAGACTCCTCTATTACTGGAACTTTCCCAACAAAATGAGATTAAGCATATTGTTATTGTGCAAGTTAAGTTTCAGTTGTACTTTACATATAAATGATTCATTATTTTTTTTTCCTCACAACACCTGCATAACATTTACGATATTGTAATGTTTCCTTTAAAATGTGAAAATTCATCAAAATAGTAGTAAAACTTAGTATACCTTTTCTTTGAACTTCAATTTTTTTTCTAGTCAAGAAGAACATATCTTGGGTGAGAATACTTCCATTCATGATTTTGTATGACTTTGAAAATATCCTTACTGAATTTCATTTAGCTAGTAAAACCATGGCCAGCCATAGAGGTGTTGAATGTGTGCCCCTGCACAAGGGGTACCAAAACTGAAATTGCAACCGGTAGGGACAGGGGTACAGCAAAAAAAAAGTTTGCACAGGCCACAGTTTTGCCTAGGGCTGGCTGTGAGTGAAACACATCCAAGCAAAAGTGTAATTAATATCTTGCATTTTTTTTTTTTTTGCAATTTGTATAATTGAACTATAACTTATGTTTCAGCTGCTTCAATTGTAGTCATGATAAGAGCCGTGTATGATTTCTTGTATAGATGAAACTGTTATTCAACATATATGCAACTTATTGTGTTTGCTGTTGTGTACACGGACTGGTAATTGAATGTAACTGAATTCTTAACTGCTTTGCTGTTTGAACTTTGATTAGTTGAGTTTTTATTAAAAGTATCTATATAATGTATGCTAGTTAATTGATTATTCTGTCAAAGTTTTTGTTTTTTTATGGTTTAACCTAACGCTCTTATAGTATAATTTTAATATAGTAATCATAAATGTAAACATAACACTTTCCAGTAAGAGAAATGAGTGTCCATTGTAGAAAGTATATTAACAAAATGTATTATGATTTTTTTTTAATCATTATTGTTAACAAAACCAAAAAAAACTTTAGTTTGCATTCAGAATATGTTGTGATATTTTAGATGTTTATATTAATCTTTTTTTTCTCTCATAGGTGGGTTTGCTCTAGTATTTCTTGTTAAGGGGACTAACAACGTTAGATATGCCCTCAAGAGGATGTTTGTCAATAATGAACCAGACTTATCTGTATGTAAAAGGGAAATCCATATTGCAGTAAGTACCTGTTAAATTCTTGTTGTTGTTTTTTAAATTATATCTTCGATATTTGAATGTTTTTTGTTTATTATATATATTCCAATAATTCATTCGTGCATTGAAGTTTTTATAGATCTGTTTTTTTTGTATCATATTGCTTGTGCTCATTTGTTTAATAATCTCATGAACACTGCCTCGTATAAAATACATTTCTCTTACTGATTTGCTTCTTCATAGAGCATTGGTTAAAGTCAAAATTAGATCATGCTCATTAGATTTAAATCTGAAGCCAGTTTTAGTGCATTTTACCAAACCAGGGGGTGTTGTAGGGATGAACAATTCTCATGAAAGCCAGATATTAGTGTATATTTGATCAGTTTTCAAAAAGGCTAGATATCACTGTAAAGATGGATAATTCCCATGAAACTAGGTTCTGTTGTAAAAACTGACAATTTTTATGAATGCTAATTATTGTTTTAAATATTGACAAGTTTCACAAAGGCTACAAGTTGTTATAAAAATGGATATTTGTAAAGAAAGATAGGTGCTCTTTTAATGGTTGACAAACATCTAGAAGGTGAAGCATTGTTACAGAGGGATCATATAGTATGTGTGTGTGTAGATCCAAATATTGTAATGCTCTTGGGTTTACAGAAACATAGTTTTATTTTATTAATGCAGCAAAATATAAACCACAGATTTTATATTAATATTTTTGTTGTGAAATGTTTTAGAATCATTAAATTAGTTTGTCTGGATCAAGAGATATATATTGTTTTACAAAACAAAAATCATAATGAAGCAAGAAAATTAAAAAAAATATTTACACTTTTATATCTTAAAAAAATGTTTGTTCATACTTATATTGCTTTTATAGTTAAAAGTTTTTATAGTTTTCTTAACCCACTAAAAGTTACTGATACAAGTATTCATTAAACATTTATTTATAGTTTTGGAAATGTTAATATTTATGTAATATAAGAGTATTAGACTAAGAATAGATTTGTGTTGTGATGTATTTAAAAAATATTTTTTATTAGAAATTGAAGCAGTTTTTACTTCTTATATCTTATTCATAGAGTAGTCTGCGAAGCCATAAAAACATTATTGGTTTAGTAGATTCCAGCATCACACATGTTGGAGGAGGTGTTTATGAAGTATTAATGCTTATGCATTATTATAGAGGTATGTATACATTCTTTGCTTAAAAATCATGGTTGCCTTCTGATTATGCTTATAAAACTACTTGCTTGATATTGGGTGCTTTAAAAATATAAAATTAAATTAGAAAAACTGCCTTTATTATGAAAATAATTAGTTTCTTTTTCATTATGTATATAGTGCATTGTTTTAGTTTTCTTTTTTTAGTAAAGAATTTATTTCTGTAAGTTATATAAAGCAATACTAATTATGTATTCTAATAAAACTGTAATAATGGTGAAACAGATTTGTTAATATCTTTTCTTCACTGAAACATGAATTTCAGGGAAAAAACATGACACAGAGGCATAATACGTTCTTTGATAAAACTAAACAAAATCTTTTCTAAGAGTTATTAAATATTTTTATTAAAACTTTTACATTTTTGTAGTCAATTTTAACTTATGCTTGTAGTAAATGTTTGCATATTTATTTTGGTGCTTTGAATAAGTGTAGAAATAAACACATCAAGTGTGCTGGAATCAGCGAGTCTGGTTAAGTTTTTTTATAAAAGCTTCACTTGAATATTTTTGTTACTGAATTATGTTATGCTCCATCAATATTACCAGAAGGTCAAGTATTGCCATAGTTAGACTAGTTTTAAAGCTAAGTGATGACACTGTGGCTGATCCTTGGTAATTTGTGGTCTCATCATTGGCCAAATATTATATACATGGTTATGAACTTAATACAACTACAGAGTATAAATGGAAGTACTTAATGAAAATCATTTTCTTACCTTGGTGCATTTCTGAAATGGTCCTACCTCATCTCACCCAAAGCTATATAGATCCTGAACTGCCCTCAAAGAATTTCTAAAATTTTATACTCCATCAGTTTTGTGCCATTTCAGTACATGTGCTGATCATTTGACTACCCTCTACCAATCATACTTCACCCACTATACAAGCGCAGCTACTCCCTCTACTATTCTAGAGTAATCTTCATTTTCTGAATTGGCATTTTATTGTATAGACATGTGTTTTAACTCACTTTCTACAAAATTTTTATTGTGCTTGATCACAAATTTCTATCAATATAAACTTCTTGTGTTTTAATATGGCAGATGATGTACTTCCAGCAACATTAGACAATGGTTCTGACATGAATCCCCAAGTCTCAGGATCAATGATATCTGCTAGGGAAGCACAGGCTTTAGTTTGTGGGGAGTTTTCGTATCTTAAGTTTGGCCGATGATTTTTCCTTTCATGTTACGATTTTTGAGAGGAAGGATATAACTACTGAGTGAAAATTTCTTTCTATGGCACTTTCCACCTGTTACCGCACCTCCATGTAATCTCCAGGGTTAGGTATTGTTCTTTTTCCAAGGAGATCTATGGTAAGTTTTCAGTGTATATTCCTCATTCCCACTAGGTATACATATGTTTAATGAGTTTATATGGGCTTGTGTGGATTGACCTAATTTCTGCACATTATAATTTAGGTCTTTCATGTCTTCTTTGCTCAGTATTTGGTAAGTTTGATATTTATAATTCTTTGGGGTAGGTTTTACTTTGTCCTTTTTTTATTGATTCTTTGAGTGGACTTAATAAGTTCTATATTTACACGTCTTTTATCTTCCATATACCTATAATGGTTTTATATTTTAGGCGTTGCTTATTGATTTATGTTTTAAGTCAAATTTCATAGTTTTGCAAATTCGTTATTTTTATGTACTTTGTAGACTACAAATTTCATAGTTTTGTTAGTTCATCAGTCCTGATTACTTTCTCTAAGTAGGTTTAGTTTGTGTATCTTTTTGGCTACACTATATGACAGTTCTGTGGGTTCTACCCCCTACCCACTTCACAGATTTCCTTCCCTCCTCTGGATCGTATTTCTTCCAGTCATCTTGCCTAGTCTGTTCAAGACCTCCTTCACAAAGGGACTGTTGATTGGGTGGTGCCCACTCAACCTGGTTTTTACACCAGTCTAATTATTGTGCCTCTGGAGATTGGAAACCCATTATAGATCCGTTCTGGCTGAACTCTTATCTGGAGCCACCTCGCTTCACTATGGAGTCCTACTTATCACTTTGGTTTGTGTTTTTTTTTTTCTTGGGACTCTGGATGACCAAATTGTCCTGATGAATGTCTATTTTCATATTGCTAGTGCTCCAGTTTCACATCAATTTCTTTGTTTTGTCCATGTGGGTCGTATCTTCCAGTTTCGGGTGCTGCCATTCAGTCCTTCTTTGGCTCCATGTGTTTTGTCGAGTGGTATGCTCTTTTGTCAGTCATTTTCACTCCTTGGGTCTTCCTGCACCTAGTCAGTAAATCACGCCTGCTTTCTTTTTCAGGAAGCTAATTGGGTTGGGTTTTCTGATCCAGTTGGAGAGGTCCATTCTTTACCCCACTCAATATCTTATTATATATTTTTTTTCTTCCATTCCCATCTTCGTTGGGCCAAGATTTCTTCACTTTGGTTCAGGGATGTAGTATGGGCAGTCTCAATGGCCCTACTTTCATCTTTCCTCACTGCACAAGGGGTTTTCTCTCTCTCTCTCTTTTGGTGATGTGGGCTTTCATTTCCGTGGTTTGTGCTCACATGCGTTCCCTTCAGTAGACACTTCTTGACCAATAGAACTTCTTCCATAATCTCGTTGACCATCCCATTACATTTCCCCCTGTGATCAGGGCCGACCTTGCTTGGTGGCTGAACAGAGAACTGACCATGTTGGGGGTTCCCATTACTCCACCATGTCAGGAGTCTCATCTGTTTACCTATGCTTTCTTGGTGGTTTGAGGGGCTTTCCTTGATTCCCAAGAGATTTCTGGTCAATGGTGGGTCAAGAAGGCTACTCTCTATTTCCACTTCCAGGAACTTTTGGCAGTTTGTTGGGCTCTGTATCCTTCCTTTTGTTTTCTGGGAGTAGATGCATTCAGTCCGGTTTGGAGGGGTCTTCACTAATATACCTATTCTCCTATCAAACTCCTCTCCAGAGTTTTTCCCATCTCCAGACCATTCCTTGTCGTGTTCTGCTTGTTTTTCCTTATTGACCTGCTTAGATATAGTGCCTTCTGCTCTGGCCCTTGCTGGAGTTATATCCCCTGCTCTTAACTCTGTCCTGGTCTTTCCTCCAACAACTGTGTTCTGATGTGGATTTTGCCTGGTCCCTTGCCTCTGCTTAGAGACTCACCCCTAGTGTAACGTTTTTCCTTTCGACCTTTTGTCCTTTTCAGTGTACAGTGACATTGGTATTCCTTCAGACTTTGGACCATTCACTGTGGCTTCCACCCATTTCATCCTTCTGTTCCTCATCTGTCCCAATTCTTCACCTGGTTGTTTGATCAGGGTTTGTCCATGTCATCTGTTGCTAGTTATAAGGCTGCTGTGTCAAACACCTTCCACTTCTGGAATGCCTTCTCCTCCCTAGTTATTTCCGTCCTTCTCTGTTTCTTTCATTTGGTCTGTCCACCACATCCCTTATTCTGTTGGATTGGGATCTCATTGTTGTCCTTCATGCCCTGTCCAGTTCTTCCTTTGAACCCATTGTAATGTGTTCCTTGTAACATATTCCCTTCAGACCTATTTCTTCTTCCTTCTGGCATGGGGTCATCGTCATTCTAATATTTATGCCTTTAATGTTTCCCGCATCCTTTACCAACCCTCGTGTGTTATCCTCTATCTGGATTGGGTCTTCCTTCCCAAGATATTGGCTGCCCAGGAAGGTTGTTTAGCATTTTCTTCTATTTCGTTACCTTTCATATCCCACCTGTACTCCTATTTGGATCCAGATTGACAACTATGTTCAGTTTGTTTCCTATGTTAAGTGGCTCGTACTACCTCCTTTCATAGTTCTCATTCCCATCTATTTGTTCCATGGACTTCCTCTGTTTCCAGTGATCAATTGCCTGGTGCTCACTGATTGGGTTCGTCAACTCATATGACTGGTGTATTCTGACTTGTCCATGTAAAGTCAGCATTTATATAATGTTTCTTCACACCACATTCATCATCTAACTGTGTCTTTAGCTGCTCGAATCTGCCATCATTTGGAGGAGATCATTCAGGCTGGTATGTGGACAACTCCAAATACATTTGTTGCATGTTCTCTACATAGCCTACCTGTGGGTATTGTTTTCCTCCTGTGGTGATTCTACACATGTCTATTTGTCTTTGACTGGGGTAAGTTGACATATTTAATTTTGTATCTTATTTAATTGATCTACTTCATATTTCAGGATCACGCCTGGTGTTGAGTGTTGCCTGGTTAGGTATGGTTAATATTATACTAGCAATCTGTATACTTCTATAACATTCACTATTGAGATGAGATGTTTCTTTAAGACCACCGGCTGCTTATCCAGAGGTGTGTGTATATATAATTATCACTGTTTTATATGTAAGGTTCATCACTTATGGACATCATGAGTAAAGCAGATGGAGATTTCTGCCCATTCCTACTGACCCATGATTCTTCCAGTTGGTGTCTTTCTGCTTCTCAAAATAGGAAATTGTAGACACCCATTGTCCTCTGGACTCCCCAATGTGTATTGCCACCCCACCCCCCTCTTCTAGTGGAGCATAGGAGTGGAGCCTTTGCCACTTGTAGTTCCCAGTTGCTGGAGTTGTGGATCAAGGAGGTTTCCTCCTGAGTGGGTTTTGTATAACAAACAAAGTTAGACTATATATCATGTGTGCCCACTTGGCGAGAAGAGGGCTTTTGTGTTTGTACTCGTTACCGAACAATGATTATACAATAACATAATATTCAAGATCCAAAACACCCCCCGGATGTTTTTGCTCAGGTGGATTGCACTTGGTTTTATTATATGTATCCAAGGTTCTTTCCCCTGGGTGTTGCCCAGGTGAACCACTCTTGTTGATCTTACAAGCTTATGCAAGGTGCTTCCACTGGATGTTTTTGCCCAGATGGATTGCACTTGGTATAATATGACATATCCCAAGGTGCTTTCCTGGATGTTTTTTGCCTGGGTGGACCACACTTGGCCTATTCATATACAATTCATGGTCCTTCAGTCCTAGCCACATTTAGTTATTTCGTTTTCTCTGGCACCATACTGTGGCTTACTATCACTATGTTTGGTACTATGGCTTGCTACATATGTGAACAAAGTATAATGTATCTGTTGACAATGGGCTGGTTACGAAAACCCTCAAGATCACTCTCATGTCTGTAATAGTTTTTATTCATCCAACGTATCCTAGGTGATTCCCCTTGATGTTTTTTGCCTGGGAGGACTGCACTTGTTCATCTCAGTATCTTATACAAGGCATTTGCACTGGTTTTTTTTTGCCCGAATAGACTGCACTTGACATACTCTACCCTTGGCACATGCTTATACAAGCTCAATGTCACTTCCACACTAGACTTTCTAGGTTTGTTAATGATGTGCTGTTTCAAGCCATGGTTCTACATCACTTTTCCACTTATTCGAGACTGTACGTCTCTTTTCTGAATGCAATGGTGCTTGCTAATTCAGTTCCACCCTCTTTTTGTTTCTGTGTTAATTACTGGGTGAAGAGCATATCTGTTCCAGAAGTAGTGCTTTCTTTTCATATTCTTGCTCACCTGTTTTTTTCAGTGTGGTCATTTTCTGCTTGATTGGATATTGATGCACTTTCGCTGGCCCCTCCACCCTTGCAATGTGGGATTCTAGCTTTGGGTGAGGGGAGGAGGTCTCTTTTCTGAATGTATTGGTGCTTGCTAATTCAGTTCCACCCTCTTTTTGTTTCTGTGTTAATTACTGGGTGAAGAGCATATCTGTTCCAGAAGTAGTGCTATACCCCACAGGTGTGCTTTCTTTTCATATTCTTGCACACCTGTTTTTTCAGTGTGGTCATTTTCTGCTTGATTGGATATTGATGCACTTTCACTGGTCCCTCCACCCTTGCAATGTGGGATTCTAGCTTTGGGTGAGGGGAGTTAACATTTTCTTACACTGAATATGTATTTCCGATAGGTACTAACCTCTTCCCTACCATTCCATCCACTGATATTCCGGTGTTTTTGGTTTGTACCTGCCAATTTTTGAAAGTGAGGATTACTCTAGAATAGTAGAGTGAGTTATCTGCATTAGTATGCAGGGCACAGTATGATTGGTGGAGGGTAGTCACATGATCAGCACAAGTTCTGAAATGGCATGAAACTGATGAGGTATAAAAGACTGGTGCACTGTTAGCAAAAATGTTTAGAAATACATAGAGGGCAGTCCAGGATTGAGATAACTTTTGGTGAGAAGAGGTAAGTACCTATCAAAATTACATTTTCAATGTAAAAAATGTTAACTTTCATTGATCAACTGCCTGCTAGACACTTGTAATTTTGTATTGTGCTCTATTTAGTAGTTTATTTTTCAGCATATCTATTGCCACTTGTTTCACAGGTGGTATTATACATCAAGCACACATGTTGAAATATATATATTTTAGAAATATAATAACAGACTACCATAATTGGAACAGGGCAAACAAATTGTATATTGTGGTAGCCCTGTTATCTACCCCTGAAATCAGTAGAAAGTTTAAAAGTTAATTTCTTACCCTCTCTTCCATGTGAATGGAATTTTTCATTTTATTGTGGTTCTGTACCCCATCAATGTAAATTTCCTTTCAGTATCTCTGCATGTTTATTATAGAGTTAAGGAAAACATAAATTTTGTGTGATAAATTTTTTTTTAGTGTTAAAGCAAACAAAGAAAACTTTAGAATCTCCACTAGAATTTACATACCTTCAGAATAGTAGCTATATTTTTATGCTGCAACTAGAAAGAATACTTAGTTTTGTTTTGGTTAGAATGTTTACAAAACCATACTGTCATGCCCATCTTGTTACAAATTACTATACCAATTAAAAAATGCATATTTAGATTATATATTGCTGGTACTATATAATTAAACTGTAAATTATACTTGAGATAAATGTAAAAAATTAACAGCCCCAATGTTGGAAAACATGCTATTTTATTTCTTTTAAAAATTTATTTGTAGCATTAATTGTCAGTTTTATCATATAGTTTTTATATTCAGAATATTTCCCCCTGAAACTTGTAATTTTAATTTTTTTTATGAAAAAAGAAATATTACAGTTTTTATTTTTATTATTATAGCTTAAGTGGGATGTCTTCTGTCTTTTCATTCCTGCCAATCATCATTATCCCAATGGATTTTTTAAAGTACAAAACCTATCTTCTTAATGTTAAGTACCTTTCTCTTGTGTGCACTAATAAAATATTGTGTTTTTTTAATATCTGTAGGACGTGTACTACAATTGATGAATGAGAAACTTCACACAGGATTTACAGAACATGAGGTGTTGAGAATTTTCTCTGATGTTTGTGAAGCAGTGTCAAGACTTCATCATTGTAAAACACCTATTGTTCATAGAGATCTCAAGGTAGAAATGTTTTGTAAAATGTTCACACTGAGTTTTGAGTTTGATTGAAACATACCTCTTTTTGAGTATAATGTTATTAAAATATCGTTTTTTATACAAATATGCAAATTGCAGCAAAATTAAAATACATAGGGCTTCTCTTAATAGTTAATTTTGAATAACAAGCTTTTGATTGCTATTACTGCATTCAGTCTTAAAGCTTTAACTTAACTGTGTATTATATTTTGCTGTCAGTTATCAACCCAAACTATGAGCCTTAAAGAATATCAAAATTATGTATATATGTTAGTTCCTAAAATTATCTCAACTAGAAATTGCAATAGAAAAATAATGATCCAGTTTTTCAAAAATATACCACTTCATGAGTAATGAATAAAAATGATTTCAGCATATGTTTCTAAAAGTTATTTTCAGGATTTCTATGGGGAAGTTGGGTCTGAGTGATTTTGATAATCTGAGCCATCATCAGATTTTAATTTCAAATAAAACAGAAAAGTAATTTTTGAATCTCTCAACAAAGGCTCAGCATTTATAAAATCAATTGTCTAATGTGATGTTTATTAAAGGCAGTAGCTCAATTACATTTATATTATACAAGCTTTCATTCTGAAATATTAGACATGTAATTTTAGATGGCAGAATTGTAAGTTTTAAATTATTCAACTTAAAAGGTTATTTTTTTTAGTTTCAAAAGCATTTTGTAAAGATTATATGACATTGAAAACATTTTAAGCTTTCTGTGTTTGTAGATATATTGGTCTTAAACTTTTGTTATATATATAACTGGTAGAAAAACTTGTTAAAGTTTAAATGCTTTTATAGGTAGAAAATATATTGATCAGTGATAGCGGTCACTATGTTTTATGTGATTTTGGAAGTGCTACGGCAAAGTTTCTAAATCCCCAGAGTCAAGGAGTTAATGTTGTTGAAGAAGAAATATCAAAGTAAGTTTCAGAACAAAATGTTAGTAAGATTTATTTTGTCTATTTTTTTTAACATTCTGTGATAGACTCAGAATTTGTCATGACACACACACAATTAAGAAAAGTTTAACTTTTATTTTTTTAATACTCCGAGTCTTAAAAGTTTAGAAAAGTGCAAAATGCATACATTTTATAAGGTCATGGAAGGGTATGGAAAACTGTAGTTTTAAGTAATTTCAACTGATATATTTGTTTAAATGACATAGTACTGAATCATTGTAACATGTTACTATATATAGCGATATAAAAATTTATTGAAAAACAATCCAAAGTTAGTTGTGGAAAAGTAGTAAAATTTACTGTATAAAATCAAAACAATTTTTAAAATTTCCAAAGCCCTTAATTCTTGATAGGTTTAAAAACTTACATTGATACTACAAAAAGATTACCAAAAATTTAAAAATAACATAATAAAAAAAAAAGAGAAAAACATATTAGTATATTTCATAAACAGTCTGTAACATTCCTCTAAACCACAGTTTTAATTTTTGGATGGCAAATGTGTATTAGAGAATTAAAATAATAAAATCTCAAAACTATCTCACTGATTGATTTAAACTTATGATTGTAGAAACCTGAGGCTAACCAGTTTTTAATCACAACAAATAGTGATCTGAAGTAAATAAAATGTTAAAGATACTGGAATGGGCTTCAGTGAGTTTGTTTTATTAAAATGTTTACATTGAGACTTGCAATATTTCAGTCTACCTTGTTTCTTCATGAAGAAAATGCTATTTTAACAAGAACTGATACATAATATACTTTGTATATTAATAGACGGTATGAAAATCTATTAAGATTTAGCTATATTTTAGAAATTTCTTCACTAACATTTTTTTTTAAATTTGTTTTTGTACAGGTACACCACCTTGTCTTATAGAGCACCTGAAATGGTAGATTTGTATTGTGGGAAACCTATAACAACCAAAGCTGACATTTGGGTGTGTAGCTCTTATTATTTAAGAAAATAAAGATATTTTATATTTTTGTAGGATTGGGTGTGACCTAGTAGTTAGTCTGTTGTACTGAGAATCTGGGGGTACATGGCTCACACCTCTCTGCAGAAAAAATCAAACACTATGTTCTGAGGATTTGGGAGTATTATAAAAGTGACACTCAAATCACCCTATTTGATTAGAGTAGCTTAAGAGTTTGTGGTGGGTGCCGTTGACTAGTTGTTTTCCCTCTAGTCTATCAGTTCAAAAGTATGAACATCTAGAACAAATAACCTATGTGTAGTTTAGTACGAATGCCAGAAACAAACAATCAACCATTACAAATTAAAATCATTGTTAGTTAAGTCATTAACAGTAAAGCATTTAGGCAAAATTTATTTTATGTGACCTTTATTTTAGAAAACAAGATAATTACATCCAAATTTTATTTGAAATCATAAGAAAATGTAAAACCTTGATTTTCAATGCTATAAATCAAGGCCTTAAAATGTTTTATTTAAGTCTTGTATGTAAGGCAACTGTTAAAGTACAAAATTTACACTTTTTTTTCATTAAAGCTTTCTGTAATTTTTCCAACTAGTACCAATCATAAAACATTCTAGAAAAGTTTCAATTTCTAAGTGGCTGGTCTGTCATTTGCAGCTAATCCAGCTGGGCTGCTTTAGATGCACTCTGTCTGATAAGACCTCATATAGATTTACTGCCAAGCTGATAGAAATGTTTATTTAAATGAATATGATTATTTTTGTTAAATACTATTACTGCTGAGTGTAATGAGATGCACCATACTGCATTATCTGATCATTGAATGACTATCTTTCCAATTCAACACCCCTTATAGAAATCACATAGCCCTCTTAGAAACCTTTTTCACAGATTTATTTCAAAGAGAAACATTGAAACGTAAAAAGTTTATTATTCGTGTGTAACTATTAAAAGTTTGGAATTTAACCCTATTGCTATGGACATTCTTTACTGTGCAGGTTTTAGTGACATTCAGAATTTAAACTAATTTTTGTTTGTTATACCAATTAGCACAGAATAAAATTGTAGCTAATAATCCATATTTTAATAGTATATAAATTTTAAGTTCTTAATTTTATAAGGCAATATTTAAAAAAATCCCGAATTTCCCCTAATGTGAGAGATGTGACATATTTTCTCTAGGCATCCCTTCTTCTCTATTTTATTCACCACCCCTCCAATAAGTATGAAATTTAACGTAAATTACTCGCTATAAAATTGTCATTGCTCAGATAAACCATAATTTTTATAGCCTTCAATCTTGTTTGGTTACAGAGCTATCAAATAGAAAATCAGACCCCTCCTGCCACACCCACCTGTCACATCCTTTTTTTTTCAGGATTTGTTAATAGCTCTGTCTTACTCTTAATACTATATTATGTATAACCAATAGAAAGCCAAGGTTTTCATCTATTAACTCTCCCAACATGGGGTCTGTCAATTTGAGTCATGTGACCTTTTGTACTCGTTTTAAAGTTGATATAAATTTAATACTTATAACTCTATATATATTAGGTATATCTTCACGAAATTTGGCAGTCTTTCAGTTAATATTACAATTCTTTCACATACAAAAAGTCATATTTCTTAGTGAAGTATTTTAATAAAATAAAATAAAGTTTTGTCCATGAATGTATTGAGTATTTGTTTTGAATAGTCTGTGTGCAAAGTAATTTTCATGTTAAAATGAAAAATACTATTCATCATCTCAAAAATCTCAAATTTCCTTTGTGTAATCCCTAAAACCTCCTAAATACATTTCAAACGTTTTTTTTTCACTAAATCCTTATAGTTTATATGCTATTTTCTCTACCCTATCTCAAAATGGGATCAGTCAATTTGACCGACCTCATAACCACTAAAAAAAAAAATCTAAATAAACCTAAATTAACCTTCTTTTCTTTCTAGAATGACTTAAAATTGTAACCTGAAACTACATTTATCCTAAGTAGCTCTAACTTTGTAACATTATACATCTATTTATAATTAAATTTTATTGTTTTTTTGCCCTTTGAACCGCGTCTAACTGCTATCCCCACCATTATAAGTTGTAAATCATTTGGGGAACGTGCGGCTCATGTTACGCTATCGAATTACATTACCCACGAGCTGCTCGCGTGCGTGCCTCATGAACCATTTTAATTATATTATTATTTATTTTACCTAATCTAGTCTTAAATAACTTAAAAAGATCCATACTTTTAATTTTAGTTACTTTTATAATAATAAATAAAGAATAGATATGAAAAACAAGAAATAAAGTACTTACCCAATCTTCTTTTTTCTTGCCCATGATTGCCAAGGAGGGTTAAACCTGATTTTTTTTAGTGATTATAGTAAAGCACTTAACAATTTTTATGTAATTAAATAATACACCAAAGAATATAGACTAATAA